TAATAACATATCAAGTAATATGAATACCAACTGTGTCATTATTATCTAAAGAATATTTATGCATTGCAGTAACTTCTACTCCCATTGTGGCAAGATCAGTAAATCTTGCCACAACGGGTTTTAAATAAATCTTCATTCATCCGCTGTGACAAGGTTTGACTGTATTTGGTGAAGCTGGAAACACATTGACAGCCGAACGAATAAAATTGAATCCGTTGTTAATTGTATTTTTTAAAAAAAAAATATGCAATGTCTTGAAAATATTTTTCCTGAAGAATAAATAATTATTATAAATAAATGAATATTCAATGAATATTCGGCGGATATTCTGTGACTGACCAATTATCCGGGTGTTGAGCTTTATTGATTGACCAAGTACTCAAACCACTACTTAAACTTTAAAAAATGCGCAAGTTTTATTCTGTAGATCAGTACCTGATTTCCATTACCTAATAAGTATTGTACAACAAAGAACGCACTTTTCGATTTAGATTTTCATATATAGCAATAGCGACGCGTAATTAATTACCTAATACTAAAAAAAATTTCTCCCGAACAACGTCATTATTATATTCATTAATAATAAAAAAAGTTGACTTCAACATTTGCAAATAAAAATATAATTGGTTTTAAAACCATGAAGGGTAAAAGTAGTATTAGCAGTAGCAACAATAATAATAAAAATAAAAATGTTAAAACAAATCCTGCTATAAGGGTAAGTAACGATTTTTGTATTTCTTGTAAAGCAGGAATGATTTTTTTTTTTTTTTAAATAATTTTAAATAAATGAAAAAATTTACTTTTAGGATATTAGTAACTTTTGCAGGGTTGCAAAAAATAATAACAATAACAGCAATATTGTTAGCAGGAACAATAATACTAATAAGAATAGTAAAAACAACAAGAATAAAGAAGTTACTTTAACCTCTAGTAAAAAACTTGTTTCGATAGAAGTAAGCAGTAACAATTATAAATTATAATTATATGTAACAAGGCATTTCAAATAATCTATTTTAAAATTTATATATTAGAAATTTTTTATTGCACAGAAAGAGAATAAGGCAAAAAAGAAATCAACAACCATCAAGAAACCCATCAAATCAAAGGAACTTTCTCGAAGCCGACAAGCATCAATTGAAAGGGTAAGATTCATCAAATTTATTGTAATCCTCTAGCTGATTTATTTATTGATCTATATATTAAAAAAAATTATTTTTATTTTCTAGATGAAAGGTCAGAGAAAGATAGATCAGATGCTTCAAGAGTTAAATTCTAAATTGATGAAACAACGGGCAATGCTTGGTCGTGTTAAAGAAATGATTGATTCAATATCATTGTATCCTTTCTCATATATACATATTAAATATATATTGTATAGTCACAAAATATTAATCTTTAATTAATCAATAATTTATAGTATGTTTGAAGTTTCTGGTAAGAATGTCATGTATCTAGGAGAGCTTGTTACAAAACTTAAAGAAAGTACAAGTAGTCCATGTATGTAAAAAAATCTTTCAGAAAAAACGTTAATAAATAAATTATTTAATTAACAATTAATAAATTTTTTTATTTTAAATAGTAGAAGTAATGGAACATATTGAACTATTAGCAGAAGTTGCTCCTGATTGGTTTAAGGTTACTTTAGCCAGAGATTCCAAGAAAGTTGTCACTATTGATGGATCTTATCAATTGAAAAGTGTTCATTCACTTATACAAATTGAATTAGAAAAATTAAAATTAAAATTAAAATTATAATAGTAACATAATTATAAATTGATTTGGTAAATTATATATATAAATAATCATATTAAAATCTTTCAATTTATATATAATGTATACATACACATATAATTTATATCATAATTA